AGGGATGCATGACAGGCAGACGAGGAGCATACAACGAGGTTTGCCGGGAGAGGTTTCTTGCACGAGATTCAGACATGCACATGATGTTCCACTTAGCGGTTTATTGAGTGGTACTACTGCATTTGATGGCTCAGAGCCGGTTATCTCTGCCCTCAATCTTAAGCCCTTAGCACCAAACTTCGCCTTAAACCCCAAACCCTAAACCTTGAACCCTACCTTGAACCCGAAGCCCCCAAGGCCACGGGTTCTTGGAGTCCGCGTCATCCAGGCACTGAAACCAAGGCGCAACAACTTGGATGCTGTTAAGGAACTTGAGGTCAGATACCGCACAAATCGATGTGTCCTGAAATCATGAGGTTTCATATGTATGATAAGTTTATTTACGTCCCTTATGTCCTTGTGTAGCCCCTATGCATTTCTAGTGTCCATTGAAACATTTTCCACGTGATTCTTGATTTGGGTCAAGAACCCGAATAAACACCAAACTCTAAACCCTAAACCCGTGCCAAAAAACCCTAAACCCTTATGTATCCCCCATGACCGTTATTCTCGGAATCTCAGTCCTTATCTTCTCTGCCCTCACAACACTGGGGGTGGCGGAGGTTCTCCAAGCCGGAGTACGATAAGGACCCCAAGGGGGGCAAAAAAGAAATGGAATTTGCATATATATATATATACATAGATACATATGGTAACACCTCCCCATGGACCTACCTTTCTGGGTGGTTTTAAGCATGTCCAATTAGACAACTAGATATATATGTATATATAACGGGCTTCCAAAAAATTAGTGTACCTTTCTAGGGGTTCCTTTATTTGGATTGTAGTATTTTGGGGTCTATATTGGGGGCCCCCAGTCATACATATATATATATATATGTATATGTATGTATATATACATATATCATATAGCCATACGCACATACATCATGGAATCTCTATGGGGTTTGTATGAGGATGCTTCTGAGAAAGTCTCACACAGCTCCTGCTCTTCCATTGCAGTCTTCCCTTTGCAGTCTTCGCGTTCGGTGTTGCACCCAATCGTCCATGATGCAGGTCTGCAAACGTTGATAAGCGACCGTGGACGAGAAACTATCGTGCCCAGGCTAAATGCGTGGAAATGCGGAGTAGACATGGTAGTTTCCCTAACTAGGGGGAACCCAATATAGACCCCCAAATACTATAATTCTTATCATAGGGACCCCTCAAAGGGTACCCTAATTTTTGGAAACCCTAAACCCTAAACAGTAGATTCCATTTTCTTTTCCAGTACCACCACATACCCCTTATCTAGCCCTATAATAATCCTATAGAATCCCTAATTTTGGGAAACCTCCACATGGGAGAAGGAGCTGAGCTGAGACGTAGGAGTTGCATCATTCCTGGGAGTGCTGCTCAGGTTACGCCTGGCACTACTTCGTACGCCTGAAGCTCGGTGCGTAAACAAGAAAACCAACGAATTCCGCCTTAGTAATAGTAATGTTAACAGTAATAGTTTGTGTTCGCCGGATTTGCAAGTATATGTATGTAGGCGTCTTTTGCTTGGCTTGCCCATTCGCCTTGCAAACTAGATTCCTAGATGTTTGATGAAGTCTATCTGCAGGCGGCAAGTACTCCTGGGGTAAGCGCCTTCGCTGGCGATTCCACACGCCACAGCGACCCGGCATCATGCACCTTGGCAGCGCTGCGTCCGCATTCCCATGATCCCATGGCAGTCCCTCCCCATCTCTTGGGTCCCCAAACGGCCTGTTGTCTTCGAGAAGCCGCAGCTTCATGAACCCTAAACCCTAAACCGCTCTGAACGGATCTCTGCAGGTCCCTGGAGCCGAAGATTCGGCGGGAACTGGCAGCCGTACGACGGCGGTATCAAATGCAGCGTAAGGAGGCATGAACAAGCGTGTTAGATAGAGATGCTATAGGCCCCCATGTTCAACAAGGTGAGATTCTATTCTCCTGTCTTTTGTAGCATCAGGTATATCTGACTATTCGGGGTTCTGCAGACTTGCGTGCGTGTCGCAAATTGAAAGACCAGCATGATTCTTGATCAACTGGGCGCAGGCACGGTTGCCGCCGTACATATTTCCTGGTCCATACCACGCACTATGGCAGCACAAGTTTGCCAGCTTGTGTTGCTTGAATTTGTGGTCAACGGCCACCAGTTGACAGCAGTCCAAGACAGGCTACGACCTCAACCCTAAACCCCAAGCCCTAAATATTAGTTTCCATTTTTAATTTTCTTTCTTTTTATTTTCCATTATCCCGATATAGCCCTAGACAGTAGTTTCCTTTTTTATTTTCCATTATCCCAACATAACCCTAGACAGTAGTTTCCTTTTTATTTTCCATTATCCCAACATAACCCTCAATAGCAGTTTTCATTTTTAATTTTCCATTAACCCAACATAAACCTAAATAGCAGTGTCCTTTTTATCCCAATATAACCCTAATATTCCCCCAATGGGTACCTGGGGGATTGTCAAAATTATGACCCCTTTTTGGGTCCCCTATATTAGGCCCCGTATTCGGCCCCGTATTATAATTGGGAACCAAAAAGGGACCATAATTTTGACAATCCCCCACCTATATCTGAAAGAGCGCGCTCCCAGGTCACCAGGCGACAGACGCGAGAAGTTTCGGCAGAACGCTATCGCCACTTGGCCGGTGGCAACTGCCTGGTCTTAAGGCTTCCACAATAATAGTGGGTAATAGTACTAATACAAATAAAAAGCAGTAATAGTAGTAGTAATACCAGTGCAAATGAAATAAAAGATAGTAGTAATACTACGAATACAAATAAAATGAATAAAATGATAGTAGTAATACTTTGCGGAATGCAAGGGCCCAGACGCACTTGGCACCCCGCAGCGCATCAAATCTGCTGTGAAAGTTGAATGCTCTCAGCATTTCTTTCCCAGCTGTGAGGGCTATCATTACGCGCGCCCCCCCCCCCCTATTTGCCCTCACCAAATGCCAGCTCATCAGAATGTGCTGCGTGTAGCAGTGTTTTGGT